TTTATTCAATGAATCGATTGAATTATGTTAATTAATTTGTAATATTTTGAATGACTACTTTTTTTGTTAAGGATGATGTAAAAATCTGATTGTGTTTACACTCGATTGATTGAATTTGTGGTCTCTATGAAAATATCTATCAGGTCAATGAGAAAATTGTCTTATTATAGGATCGTCACTGACTTACTTACTTACTTACTTACTTACGCCTGTTACCCCCCCCAATGGAGCATAGGCCGCCCACCAGTTTTCTCCTACCAACTCTGTCCTGAGCTTCCTTCTACAGTTGTGTCCAATGTTTGTTCATTTCTCTCATATCTTTCTCTATTTCTCAGCGTAATGTGTTCCTCGGCTTTCCTCTTTTCCTTTTGCCTTGAGGGTTCCTTGTGAGTGCTTGTCCTGTGATGCAGTTCGGTGCTTTTCTTAGTGTGTGTCCTATCCACTTCCACCACTTCTTCCTGACTTCCTCCTGCACTAAAATCTGGTTTGTCTTCTCCCACAGTACGTTGATGCTAATGGTGTCTGGCTAGCGAATCCGAAGTATTTTGCGTAGACATCTGTTAAAGAATACTTGTATCTTCTGGATAATGGCTTTTGTAGTTCTCCATGTTTCCGCTCCATACAGTAGAATTGTCTTGACATTTGTATTGAAAATCCTGATTTTGGTTTTGGTTGAAAATTGTTTGGAATTCGTCAGGTTGAACTGAATTGTCAATATTCAATGATATAATTTTTTTTAAACTGAAGTAATTTAAAAAACATCGCCATAGTGATTCAATATTATTCGTAACAAGTATTTTGCAATGAAACAATGTTGAGTCACTGGATCACTGATTGATTAATAAGTGATCGATACAACACAACAAACAATCTCTATTCTAAGAATGTTTTTATAAATTTATAATTATTCCAAAATAAGTTCATTGTATTAAGAGACTACATCTAAACATCTAAACATTTTCAAGCATTGTACATCTACAAACCTTCAAGAACTGTCATACCACTTGTTGTTTATGTACCTTTTACTTATCTAAATTAGTATACAACAGTTTGTATTTCTAACTTAATGTTATTGATTAACAATTTTGTTCAATTATAGTTATGGAGATCAGTGTTGTTTACATTCATTGAAGTCATCTACCAATCATTTTTAGACCACCATTAAAAACCTGGAAAAAATGAACGGACGTGAAGTCTTGGTATGGGACTCATCAGTGTCAGTGTGCATCTAGAACTCCTGCAAATCGCAGAATTCCGAACCAGGACCTTCGGAGTTACGCGCGTAAACCTAACCTCTGAACCACGGAGCCGGTATCTAACGGTGTTAATGTCTACCTCTGATCAATCTAGAGAGACAATAACCATTTGTCTTTCATAGTTACTGTCTACACTAGACAAGGGTGAACTCCACTGTTCACATCTTCTCACTAAAACTACGAGAATTTCCTTAGGAAGCTAGTCACTTGTGAACAAATTGGCTTTTAGATGCCGATCCCAGTTGTTCAGGTGGTAGGTTCTGGGTTCGAATCCTCTTATGGATGTGCAATTCTAATGAGTTCCATACCAGTTGGTCGTCTAACAATAAATATTTTAGATGCGCGATGTTTGCATTTCTATCATTTCTACATTCTATTAGTCATAACATAGGAGTAGAACACTTGGAATGTTCGACTGGAAGTAAAACTGATCTAACGTTAACAAGAATGGTATTAGAATTGTATCTAATATTCTCTAGTTTTTAATAATTCTACAGTTGCTTGACAATGTTGCTAGTTTTTTAATGATACAGAAAAAAAATTGATGTATGCGACATTTAAAGGTGAACATAATAAAATCAATTATGAGAAATATTCTAATGGGTATTTTTTGTAGAGATTGTTGAACTAAAAACAAATGATCAGCTAGTTCACCCTAATTTAATATTGCTCATCAATACACAGTTATGTGAATCGAATAATTAAAATTGACATCTTAAAAGATGAAATTTACAATTTTAACTTCAATCAAACTTGTATTATTGTTCAGCTATTACCAAAATGTGTTTGGTATTATACAGTCAGTCATCTGATGCCTACTAGTTTTCTAGTTGAACTCAATTAGTGATGTAAAATTCTAGAATATATATATATATATATAATTACACTATAAATAACAAGAACATGATGTCAAGCAAGCATTGATTTCAGGAAATAAGAAATAGTGGTTGTGCACTGTTGATTAGTCCCACACTACCTTTTTTGTCGACCGTTCAGTGCTTGTAAGTTTTTATAATGATGGTCTAACAATGATCAATTCTTAGAGAAAGGCCAAATATGAAAGAAATATTTTGTTCTCCATATCACTCAAAACTTAATATTCAAGCCAGTGTAGTGAATGAGAGCACAGGTGAGGGCAACCAAATTGTATTTATTGCAAATTACATAGTTAATTTGTAAAATAGGAAAACCATATCGTCAATCGTTAATTTGCAAATCTTCAATTCATCATCAATCCATTGTCTGACATTTCACTATTCATGCGTTTCATACAAATTCCATTGTGTTCCCCTCACTCTTCCTTTCTTGATCTTCCCTCATCTTCTGCTGCCAGACATTACGTTTACACTCGTGTCATATACTACTTGTAAGTAGCGCGCAACACACCAGCACACTGATTTCAGGAATGAGGAGATATTAAAAAAAATGTTGTTTCCTAGGCCAAGATGATCGATCACTTTACAGTAAAACAAATTGTTTACTACGACAGACAAATTTAATTTAATTGCCACCTCATATTACCTCGTCTTGTGTCCACCACTTCATCATATATCCACTTCAAAGAACATACAATTGGTCAGAGAAAAAGAGGTTTAATGCTTGGATCTCTAAGAACACACACTCCACAGAACGTTAGATTAAAAGGAAATACCCTTTTCTGATGTGCGAACGCAACTATAACATAATAATCTTTCATTTGTATTTCTGAAAAAAATCATTCTGTTTCTATACTGTTAGATATTATTCTAGAAAATTCTTATATTCGACTACAAGATTGTTAAGCTGAATTTAAATCATGAGTCGATCATTGTTAGATCACAATTAGAAACATGGAAGTACTGGACAGTCGTTTAATCTTTGTATGCTCGGTTCATCATTTCAATGAAATTCAACAATTTTCACAACTATATAATGAAAAATCATATCGATGTGTTCACTAGTGACTAGCTTCATGAGGAAATACTTGAAGTTCTAATGAAAAGCTATGACTAGTGGATTTCAAGCATGTTGAGTGTAGACAGTTACTCAGCGAAGACAACTGGGTGAGATTGCGCAAAACATTAGGCTGATCAAAGTTAATCATTAAAACTGTTGGACCCTGGCTCAGCATTCTAGAAGTTAAGCGTTTTCGCGTTAAGCTGAAGGTCCTAGGTTCGATTTACGTGACTGTGATTCTTGGCTGCGTACGTTTGATAAGTCCCACACTACAATTTGACGACCATTCAGTGCTTGTAAGTTACTAATGGTAGTTTAAAAATGATCAATTTATGATTTCAAATATAAACAATTCAATTATTTTAACATAAAAACACCACCCGATGAAATTCAGTCACATCCACAATACTCTTTTCAATTATATTCATTGATGAGAAATTTTTGCTGAAAAAAAAAGCACATTGTTTTAATCAATGATCAATATTATATATTATACTTAGTTACAAATAATTGACAAAAAAAAACCATGAGAAAAAAAGTTAATAACTTCAAATTACGTCAATTTATTACTAATGAGAAACGAAAAAGAAAGAGTATTGTTTAGTTCATACTAATGAGAATATAAATTATTGACGAAGTAGAATTGAATGA